TTATCCTGCGTTAAATGATGGCACCTCTGCTGAAAACATGCCATGGTTGAGAAGGGATTTGGGTATAAAACTAAACCAGCGAGTCTGTGCTGTTTTGTATGGGGAGGGAGGTGTTTGCAGGCACTGCTGCCACCAGCCAGGCTTCACTGGTGTCCCCTGGGTCCCCAACACCTCCTGGGGAAGGCAGGTGTGGAAACATCCCAGCCTCTGCCAGCTCTAGGGAGATAACACCAAGGGAGAGGAGAGCAAGGGGGAGGCAGGAACATTTTTTCCAAAGTCTCCGCACCAGACTCAGCTGCGATCCCACCATACAGTCAATTTAAGCCAGGTTAAATAAAGTCAGGAGTCCTTCCAGGAGAAACAGCTTGGGAATCCTGAGCCCTGGTTCCAGGAGGGCTCATGGCCCCAATCCCATAGGTGTTTCCATGTGAGAGGAGGTTTACTGGCCCTTGCTGCAGGGGAGGATTCTCCTCATTAGCCAAATCACCAGGACTTTTGCACCCAGGGTAAGGAGCAGGCTGGGCCTGAACAAGTGGGGCTCAGGGAGTGGGGTGGGGGTCTGGGCTGGAGTGGGTGCAGGCATGGGTACCCTTCCCATGGTGGGACCACGTGGGGAGCCTGAGCCCCCTGGCTGGGTCCTTCCTTTGCCATCCCACATGCCCTGTCTCATCCCTCTGTCCTGTCCCTGCTGCAGCCTGGGAGTGACATCCTTGACAGCCCAGCAGTCCTTTGCATGAGAAAATGAGATTAGGAAAGTATTTTAAGTATTTGTGTCTGTCCTTCAGTGGCAACAAAGCCTGGAGCCAGTGTGGTTTGTCCTGTCAGCTGGCCTGAAGCTTGGGAAAACAGCTGGGAAGCCAGTGGGAGACACCTTTGGCACCAGCAGGGATAATGCTGAGTGCGGGGGCTGAATTTGCAGATGCCACTGGGGAATGGTAAATGTGTAGTGTGGCACAGACAGGGCCACTTGGCCAAATCCCCTTCCCAGGGATGGAGCACCTGCATGTGCATGTTTGCAGGCGTCTGTTGGCAGCCACATGGACTCCCCTGGATGTATGAACACATCAGAGGATTGGGGATTTTGTGTCTGATCTGCTTTGAAATGCTGCTGACAGGAAATGAAAAGCCAGTACATTTGGACAGTCCCATGAAAGAGCAGGACTGCCAGCACCAGCAGCGTTTGGGAGAGCCTGGGATTTAACCCCTCCGAAATTCCGAGCTGAATTTTAAGCCTGTTTTCCTCCCAGGGCAGTAAGATTAAGATGAATTCTCTCCATTTTGCCTTTAACAGGAAGAGACACAGGTGACAACTCCAGAAGGCAAGGAGGAGGCAGGGAGAGCCAGCAGCAGCTCCCAGGTCATCGCTTTGTCAAAACCAGCAGGTATCTGCTGTGCCCTTGAGCTCTCTGCTGTGGCTCCTGTTCAGTTTGGCTTCCCCACGGCAGCTGTCACCATGTCTGCATTATCAAACCACCTGCCTGAATTTCAAGGAGCTCATCCATATATTCAACAGAAATATCAATTTCCAAGAGTTCTTGGGAGCCTTGAGATCAGAGCATTTAAACTGGGGATTTCTGCTGAGCTGTGCTCACAGCACCAGAGCTGGGATTTCTCTTGGCTGGGGTGGGATTTCTGCTGGGGGGCTGCAGGGAGGTGGGATTTTATTGAAGCTGTAACTACACAGGGTTGCCAAAATGTTGTCAGTGTCTGCCTGGCCTCAGCCCTGCTCCCTGGCACCCAGAGGAGTGTGGATCCCATGCTGCAGTGCTTGGCTGTCCTGGAGCATCACAGCTAGTGGGACTCAGCCCAGGAGGAACGGGCCTGAGAGATGCAACACAGGGAGGGCACTTTCTTTGCATGTTTTTAAGGCAAATGTGGCTCCTGAAGTCAGTAGAGAAGGAGATTCCTTGGCAGCCTGGGGAGCCACCCTGTCCACAATCTTCCCTGGGACCTTCAGAGGAGCTGAGGAATCCAATTCCCACTAATTTGCTTTGAAAACACCAACGTAAAATTGGAATTATGGCATGCTGTGTTAAGGGGAGGAAAGAACTCACCAGACTATAACTACCTGGTTTTCCTAAGACATCGGTTTTGATGATTTATTAACACTTACATTTTAAACAATATTATGTCAGTTAATGTTGGAAGATGTTCCTACAATTAATGAAAATTTCATAGACTGACTAGGGAAGAAAGAGACCATTTTCTGTCCCCTACCAGATGGCCTCAACCAGCTGCTCACTTTTTTCTTTGAACCATGATTCTAACGACTTCTCTGTCCTTTGAAGTCTGCTTCTGAGCTGCTAAACCAGATGTATTTGCATGATAGTAGCAGAGCATGTTTAACAGTGGTGGATTTGTGCTGTTTTCCTGCCTGGCCACTGCTGGATATTGTGAGGTTTGCTCTCATTTGGGGGTTTTGAGAGGTGAGCAAGTGTGAAGACTTAGTAAGTGCTGGTGAAATGTGACTTGGTGTAACATCACTGGCTTCAGTGGAGTTATTCCCTAAACCCACAGCATCTTTACCCACCTCTTGGCTGGTTTTGTTGCTTTACAAACCCATGCAGTGGTCTCAGTCTGCTTTCAGTCACAGATTTATTAGGGCCTCACAAAAGTGGGGGGCTGCTCTTGAGACACACATTTCAGCACTGATTTAGAAACAGAGGACAAGAGGAAATGAGGAGCTTTAAATAGGTATTGAGAAGTTTTAAAAATCATACATCACAAAATAAAATGGTGGCAAAGGGAACAAAACTAAAAAAGGTCCTTGTGAGTGGAGTTGGTGGAAATGTATGCCAAGCAGGGAAGTTGGGAAGGCAACACTGACAATCCTGGCTTGTTTTAAATCCAGTGCAGCTCCACCTGAGCCCATCCCCAGATGCTGCAGAGTCACAGAGCAGCAGCAGGTGTCAACTGAGACCCCAGCTCTGACATGGCCACCCCACTGATGCCGTAGGTGCCAGAAGGGCTTCCTAGGATGGAGCAAAGTGCCAGGAGGTGCTGGTATGTTGCGGATGCCACAGATCTCCACAGGCTCCAGAGCTGGCAGGCATGGTGGCTGCATTGCACAGCACCCAGAGCCTGCAGAGCTCACCCACCCCTTGATGAGCTCTCACACCAACCCACACCTGCATTTCTCCTGACAGCAATGAAGACCCTCGTGCAAAGCCCCTGATGTGGGGTGAAGGTGGCCACATGCTCCTCTTTTATGCTACCTCCCAGAGCACTTACAGGGCATCAAGCAGCTGCTCTCCCCAGAGAGAGGCTGGGCTGGCAGACAGCTCTCCAAAATGATCCTCACACAATATTCATATGCTGGAGGGTGTATCTTTGCTAGATGTTTCACTGTGCCTGCCTCAGAGGCCTGTTAGGGACTTTTTGGGTAACAAATAATAAAGAACAAATGGAACAATAAAGGTAAGAAGCAGAGCAATTAGCCATAGCCAGACAGCCCAGGGCGAAGAAGAAAGTCAAGGCAATGGTGCTGGTGGCACAGCATGTACTTTTCTTACTCAAGGTGCTCAGTCTGATAAGGAAATGAAAGGGGGTAAAGCAAGGCAAACCAGAGGTAAGATGGTCTGTTGAGTGAGGTACCAGACCTTGGTTGTGATGGAAGGAGAGGACACTGTGCTGTGATCCTGCAACCCTCCTGGGTGGTGCAGATCTGCATGTTGGCAGCTGTTGCTGTGCAGCAGACACTTGGCTCATCCCTGTTCAAGTGCATTTCCCCATCAACTGGGGCCTTTTAGTCCTTGGCCTCTCTCCTGGGATGCTGTTCACAAGGAAATGGCAGGAGCCCATCAGCTAATTTGATGTTACCCATCAAGAGATGAATTCTGGGTGCGAGGTGCAGACTGAACCTGGAGCGACGTCCTTAAGGTGAGCAGGTTTCTCTTCCCAGCTGCCAGCCCCGTGTCCCCAGGGCTGTGGATCCATTATTCCCTGTGTCTGCGCCTAAACCCGGCACAGACAGACCTGGGGCAGGGCAATGGGTGCGGGACAGGAACAACCCGTTAGAGCTCAGCAGCCCGGGGTGGATTCTCCCTCCATCCCGGGCCGAGCACCGGCTGCGCGTGTCAGGGCTCCGGGACACGGCGGGAGTGTCCGGGCTGGG